ACTACAATTTTTTGAAGTTGCTACAACAAGCAAACGGAAAGGACATTGTTGGGTGGGAGGGGGAAGAGGGAGGAGGGAGGGAGCTGCAGCACTCTTTTTACAATAGCCAAGAGTTGGAACCAGCCCAAATGTCCATCATCGGATGAGTGGATCCAGAGTGGGAGGGGGAAGAGGGAGGAGGGAGGGAGGTTTCGGTGATGGGCCATAATAATCAACCACATTGTATATCGATAAAATAAAAATTTAAAGGAAAAAAAAAGAAAAAGAAAAAGCTTATGTTGCAAAATAAAAACCTGAAACATTAAAAAATAATAATAATAATAAAAAAATAAAGACATTAAGAAATGAGGGGAAAAGTCTTATATTTACACACATGTTCCAGAGTTCTTTATTCTTTTGTATGAATCCTACTTTCCATGTTATCATTTTCCCTCACCCTAAACAACTTTCTTTAGCATTTCCTGTAGTGTAAGTCCACTAGTGACTCATTCTCTCAGCCTGTATCTGAAGATGAATTTATTTCACCTTCATTTTTAATTCACTTTAATTCAAGTTTAATTAATTCATAATGAATTCATTTTAATTCAAATTCCATAGTTTTTTCTTTCAGCATTTAAAAGATGTCAGTCATTTTTATATCTTTTGGCGTACACTGCTTCTGATGAGAAGTCAATGGTAATTCTTCCCACTGTTCCCCAGAGTGTCTTTTCTCTGTCTGCTTTTAAGAATTTCTCTTTACCTTTGGTTTTCAATAAATTGACAATAACATGTCCAGATGTGATTTTCTTTGGTCATCATGCTTGGGTTCATTGAGCTTCATGAATATGTGTGCTGATAGTTTTCCTCAAATTTGGAAAATTTTCATGTACTATTTCTTCAAATATGTTTTTCTGCTCCAATCTCTTTCAGTTCTCTTTCTGGGATTCCAATACACATAAGTTAGACTGATGGATATTGAACCACAAGTTGAGACGTTGTTCTTTTTTTGTGGTTTTTTTCTCTCAGTACTTTAATTTAGATAATGTCTACAGTCCTGTCTTCAAGTTCATTGATCTTTCAAGTTCACTGATTTTCTTCTCATCAAGTGTCTAATTTACTGTTAAGCCTGTCTAATAAACTTTTCATTTCAAACATTATGTTTTTCAACTCTAGAATTTCATTTGGTTATTTTGATTTATTTATTTCTATTAGTCATTTATTTATTTATTTTTGGCAGCTGGCCAATACAGGGATTGAACCCTGGACCTTGGTGTTATCAACACTTCACTCTAACCAACTGAGCTAACCAGCCAGCCCTGTTTCTTTTTAATAGCTTCAATTTCTCTACTGAAATTTCCCACTTGTTCACTCATTATGTCCATCTTTTATTTAAACCTTTAAACATGTTTATCCCACTTGAAAATATTTGACTGCTAATCCCAACTTCTCTGTCATATCTTGGTATATTTCTATTGATTGCTTTTTTTCTTGTTTAATAATTATGCTGGACATGGTAGATGATAATTTGTTCAATGTGGATTTTGCTGTATTCCTTTCAAGACTGTTGAATTTTGTTCTGGAAGGTAGCTAATACACTGGTGTATCACCCTGATCCTTTGAGACTTGTACTTGGCTAATTTTTGTTAAAGCAAATCTAGAGTAGTCTTACTACTAAGGCACGGCCTTTGTGGAGTCTCAATTGAGTACTTGTGATGGTCAGTGAGGTCTCCCTGCTATGGCTGTTTGAAATTCAAACACACCCAGCACTGTGAAACCTCTGGAATCTCTTTCCAGCTCACAGTTCCCCAGCAGCTTTTCATTGGAAGGTCTCTCAGGGCCTTGCCCTATGCACGTGAAGCTTCCCATTGGGCCAAAGAGCAACTACATGTGGATTTTTGGAACTCCTTGTCTGTGTAGCTCCTTCTTCTCTGGTATCCTGTCCTGCAAATTCCAGCCACCTCAATGGCCAGGAACTCTGACCTCTGCCTCCTCAATTCAGCAAGACTACCATGATCTGCTTGGCTTCCACTTCTTTGTACCAAGTCTGGAAAGTATCGACAGGCAGAAAGCCAAAGTGATCGTGGATGGGGCTTACCTTGTGTTTCCCTTTTCTCAGGGATCACAGTATTATACTGCCTGTTGTCTAATGTCTAAAAACATTTGCTTTATATATTTTATCCTATCCGTGGTTTATATTGTAAAAGTTCATTTTAGTTGCCTTATAGAAAGAAGATTGAAGACCTGCATTAATCTCCTAAGTGTAATCTAAGTAGAAGAGGAGGGTGGCTTTATTAAGAATGGTGGCAATGAGGAGGGAGAGATGGGACAGATTTGAGACAGATTTTGCCATGAGCCACTAGGTGGATAGAGATACTATTTACTAAAATGGAAGAAAGTGTGTGTGTGTGTGTGTGATAAATTGTGGGGAGAAGAAAACAAATGAGGATTCCATATTGGCCTTTTAAGTTTGAGATGCCAGTGAGAACTGCAAGTAGAATTGTCGAGTAAGCAGTCAGCTATACGCTGTCTAGAGTCCACAAGAGTGGTCTTAACTACAGATAAAGATTTGTTTGCAATTATCATTAACTAAGATTTCATTTCTTCCTATAAAGCAATTCTGCCTCTTAGAAGAGAAAATTGAAAACACTTAACTAGAAAGGGGAAAAAACATCATCCACTGTTCCCACCACCTAGAGACCACCACTCTCTAATTTATGGTGTGTTTCCTCCAGTACCTTTTCTATGTAGTCTGGTCTTGTTTTGATTTTACATGTTGTAATCATGAACCTTCTTCACTCCCCATTAGAAACCCTTCTTATCATCTGTTTTCTTTTTTTTCCTTTTTTTTTTTTTTGTCTTTTTTCATGACCAGTAACGGGATCGCAACCCTCGGTGTCGTGCCTGTACCGCAACCGGCAACGGGATTGCAACCCTTGGTGTCGCACCCACACTGCGCTCAACCAGTGAGTGGACCGGTCTCTATATGGGATCCGAACCCTCGGCGGGAGCACCGCCACACTCCCAAGCGCCGCACTCTACCGAGTGCACCACCGGGCTGGCCCTTTATCATCTGTTTTATTAGCTGTATAATTTTTCATAAAAAAGATGTATCAGAATTATTTTCCATTTCCTTTTGCTGGACATATAGATAGCTTCACAAGAATAGTTCAAAGCTGATTTCATAGATGGAAACACATGGCCAAAACATTCCTTGCATCACTCTAATTGTGCAATCCAAAGTAACCTCTGCAGCAACCCATACAAACCAGATCTGTTCACACTGACAGAATGTAACAAAGCAGTAATATTGATGATCTAATTTGATACCCAGGAAAATCCTATGAAAAAGGTAAGAGGAAACTTTATTACTCTCATTTAGTCAATGAGGAATTTGTAGTTCAGGGAAAGAAAATGCCTTGCTCGATGCCACAGTGCCAATGTGCTCAGGACCAACAATGGGTTCTTTAGCCTCCTGCTATCCTCTGTAAAAGGAAAGTTATTGGCCAGTCTGTGTCAAGAAAGGACACTGGGTATATTTTCAGAGAGAAAGTGAAATAAAAAAAACTGGAAAATCCTTTGGCTCAGAACTAGGCAGGGGGAGTCAACAGTATTGGTTTTTAATCATGCCAGGGCTCAAGGTCTGCTAAGCAATCCAAAAAGGCTTAAGTAGCAAAAATCAGCTAACAGAATGTTCTGTGACAATTTTGGTTTAAACACCTGGAGAAATTTATTTAAGAATGTCAGCTTAACAGAGGATTAAGTATTGTTGTTCTCCAAACAACTCTGTGTTCCCTCACACTGCTCACCTTCTCTCTGCTTGGGACATAACTCTATTCCACCTCAAACAAAATCTGCTCTGTCCTTCCAGGACCAGTTTCAGTGTCTCCTCCTTCAAGACAGCACTCCAATGATGACATGTTCCCCACACCAAACCCCTGCAGTACTTTATATGTCTCTCTCTGAAGATGCTTATCAAGCTCTCCCTGGTGTAACGGGTATTAGTATAAATTTTTCTTCCCCTCTACTGGGCCATGTCCAATTCACTGCTTTACTGTGTACAGGAAATACTTAAGGAGGACTTTACTTTTTTTTTTTTTTTTTTTTTTTTCTTTTTGAGACCGGCCACACCGCGCTCAGCCAGTGAGCGCTGTGAGCGCACCAGTCATCCCTATATAGGATCCGAACCCGCGGTGGGAGCACTGCTGCGCTCCCAGCGCTGCACTCTCCCGAGTGCGCCACGGGCTCAGCCCAAGTTTATCTTATAATAGAGGAAGAAATAACTTCACAGCATCTTTTGTTTTCCCTGATTTAATAAAGAACTCAAAGTCCTTGTAGAAAATATAGTAAAATACAGTATAAAACAAAAGGAACCCAAAACTTTACCACAACACCAATCCAGAGACAATTGCCAATATCTTGAGTGCAACCTCATGAGATAACCTGAAGCATCCAACTAAACCACTCCCAAATTCCTGACCCTCAGAAACTACTGCAGTAATTTGTTATCTAGCAACAGATAACTTAAACACAACTCACATATAACTACAATTAGGGTAGAAGGAGAAAAGATAGAAGGAAAGGAATTAAGGGCCGGCCCAGGGTTGCGATCCCCTTACCAGTTAAAAAAAAAAAAGAAGGAAAGGAATTAATAATTACTGATCCCTTATTCTGTGCCAGGCATGTGCTGATGTCTTTGTCTACGTTATCTTATTTAATCCTCATAAAAACCCTATGAAGCAAGTACTGTTTCCCCCTACTTTACAGGTGATGTAACTGAGGCACAGAGTTAAATGACTGGCTTGAGGTCCCAGTACCTGCAAACAGCATTCCCTAAGGTATGCCTAATGAAAGACTGTGCTCTTCCCTCCATCATTCTGTTGAACTCATCTCCAAATCGTCCTACAATGCACTCTTCCCAATGCCTGTGAGGACCCTTCTGCAAAGAGCTCAGCATGATGCTCAGGTGTGATGCCAGTACTGGTACCAATGAGGAGAACCAAAGAAAGCAGGCTTCTTCTTACCTTTTCCAGTCATATAATAGGCCCCCAGTTTGTAGCAGCTATCACTGTGCTTGTTCTCTTCACAGTTGAATTTCAACACCTTGGCAGCCTCATCGAAATTCTTCTGGATCCCCTCCAAATAGTCCACCAGCCGATAGCAACCTGGGAAAAGAGGGCAAGAGCTGTTCTTCATGTCGAGGGCTGCTGCTGAGCAGTGGGGAGGACCCAGGTGTGGCAGGTCAGACTGTCTTTTATTTAGCACCAGCCCCTGTCTTCCTGAGGTGTGGCAAGCCGACCTTATCACAAAAACCCAGGTGGTGAACAGCCATTCCCACAAATGGCACTGTCTCCCCTTAGCCAGGGACTGAGCAACTATGGACTGGGGAGACCTTGGCCCCTGCACTGGCTCCATCACTGGTTAGCCCTTCTGTTCCCTGTCAGCCTGGCCCAAAGACCCACTAACTTCCATGATTAAAACTTTGCTAGCTTTGGAAACTCTCATGAAGTTCAGCAGTAAAAAACACTGAAAACAAAAAGGGCACCTGGGCTAGTCTTTGTAGCAGCAAGAAAGGGATGTTGGGATGACTGTTTCTTACTCCTCAGCCAGGCTGGGAATATGAAGCCCAAAGACAGAGTAGACAACGCAGCTACCAAATGAGGTGGAAATAGGCTTCCCCTCCTTGGCAGCCTCCCAGTCTCAGCAAGCTTCTCTTCTTTTTTCTTTTCTTTCTTTTTTTTTTTTTTTGTCCTTTATTGAGACCGGCCGCACCGCGCTCAGCCAGTGAGCACTGTGAGCGCACCGGTCATCCCTATATAGGATCTGAACCCGCGGCGGGAGTGCTGCTGTGCTCCCAGCGCTGCACTCTCCCGAGTGCGCCACGGGCTCGGCCCTTTTTTTTTTTTTTTTTTTTTAAAGATGACCAGTAAGGGGATCTTAACCCTTGACTTGGTGTTGTCATCACCACACTCACCCAGTGAGCTAACCGGCCATCCCTATTGGGATCCGAACCCGTAGCCTTGATGTTATCAGCACCACACTCTCCCGAGTGAGTCACGGGCCGGCCCAAGCTTCTCTTCTTAACATCTCTCTCTTCTATCCTCTTCATCCCCAGCAACACCACATATCTCTTTTATTTCATTCAACAAATATTTGAGCTTCTATATGCACCTATGTACCAGACATGGCTCTAGATGCTGGGAATACATTTGCCCTCCTAAAATTTACAAGATGTATTCAAACAAGAATAAATGTTATAATCGAAATAAAACAGGATGATGATTTAGTTTGTTATGCACGTTTGGGGAATGGTTAACACAGATTGGGTAATCAGGGAGGGTCACTGAGGACTGTGATGTCTGATCTGAGTCTTGAATAACCAGAAAGCACTAACTGTTTAAAGACAACAAAATGGGAAGGAGGCAGAAATTCCTGGCACAAGGTAAATATAAAGCCCTGAAAGAGAAAATAAGCTTGGCATAAATAAAGTATAATATGGCTGAATCGAGGAGGAGGAGTGGGACAGGAAATGAAGAGAGGAAGGCAAGGACCAGATCACAGGGCCTTGTGGAACACAGGAAGGAGTTGGGATTTTATTCCAAGTGCAACAAGAAACAACTAGAAGGTTTTAAGAATGGAAATGATATGATTCAATTTGCATTTTTAAAAGGTTACCGATGGAGTTTGGATGTGTTGTCCCCTCCAAAACTCATATGGAAATTTGATCTCCAATGTGGCAGTGTTGGAAACTGATTGAGTCATGGGGGCAGTTCCCTCATGAATGGATTAATGCTCTCCCTGGGGGAGGGGGTGAGTAATGAGTGAGTTCTCCCTCTATTAGTTCCCACCAGAGCTTGTTGTTTATAGGACCCTGGCACCTCTTGCTTCCTCTTGCCATGTGATCAGCTTGTACCTGCCACTTTTCCGCCATGAGCAGAAACAGCCTGAGGCCCGTGCCGGATGCAACTGTCCCAGAATCGTAAGCCAAATAAACCTCTCTTCTTTATAAATTACCCAGTCTCAGGTATTTCTGTTATAGCAACACAAAATGGACTAAAACAGTTACTTTTTATATGCATGTTTTATAGAGGAACTTAAGTGTGTGAGGGGAGACACTTGGGCACTGATAACAAACATATTATTTAATAATCAAATAAACACTTAATATATATATAAAAAAAAAATACCAGTTTATCTGCAAGTAGAAAATGGATTTGAAGGGTGCTAACAGAGAGACAGGGTAGAAGGCTCTATCAGTTACCCAGGAGACAGATTATGACTTTCAAGGAAATTACTATTCCAGCAGCTATAATAATGACAGCCTATTCGCAGGCTCTCTTTCTAAAGTGCCGCAGCCAGTCACTGTATGTCCACCCTTCTCTACTTCATTACTCTGTATATTTTCCACAGTACACTACCATGAATTTGCTCCTCAAACAACAGGTATGGCTCTCCATGGCCTACAGAACAAAGTCTAAATTCCTTACCCTGGCTTCAAGGCCTGACATATTGTGGCCCAGGCTCCCCCTTCAAACTTAACTGACTACATCCTAACTTCAAGTTTCCAAAAAGCACTTTCTTCTCCCACATCTCCTCCATTTAATCAACACTTGCCCAATTTCTCTGAATTCTCTCCATACTTAGGACATGGACCAGCCCTCAAAGAACCAGCCCGGGTTCTTTTTAAGCCATCATACTGCAGAGCAACTCCGTGTTATGGTTATGTTATGTTATGTTACATTCATACAGTTATGTTATGGTCTGCATTATGGTTAGCTTCCAGAAATAGCTATGTAATGTTCTGGAAATTAGACTGCAAGCTATTAGAAGGTAGTGCCTGTGCCTTTTTTTTTTTTTTTTTTAAATAAAGTAGGAAGAAGAAAACGACCCAAAGGTATTGGCTACTCTGGGTGGCCCCTGTGGACACCACACTCAAATCAACTCAACCTCCCAAAATACACGGGGCATATTCCCGCCTCAGGGTCTTTTCACCAGCTGTTACCTCTGCCGAGCATAGGCAGATCTGCATGGTTCACTCCTTTACCTTCTTCAAGACTTTGTTCAAATGCCACTTTCTCAGTGACTTCCCCATGAGAACTCAACTTAAAATTGCCCTTCCGGGGGATGACTGATTAGTTCAGTTGTTTAGAGCACGATGTTTTAACACTAGGAACAAGGGTTCGGATCCTCCTATCGGCCAGCCGCCAAAAAAAAAAAAAAATTGTCCTTCTGAACTCCTGATACCTTTCACTCAGCTCTTTCTCCCATTGCACTTACTACTTTCTAACACACTATTTCATTCATTTTTCACGCTAATTTCCGCTCCCCCCCCCACTAGAATTTAAGCTTGTTGAGGACAGGGAATTTCATCCGTTCACTGATGTATCCCCAGTTCGTCTTCTCCCAAATGCCCAAGCACTTCTCTTTCTTCCCATCGCAGCCTCCAAGCTCGGTCCCCGCGGAGCATTCGCCCTCTGAGAGCTCGGAACTCCTCGTGGAACACAACGCTCCCACAACACACACGAGGTCGTGAACGTCCCACAGACCCCGCCCCGACGTGTCCCCAGGCGCTCACCGTCCGGATCCTTCTCGTGGTAGCACTGGTAATTGCACTCCACCTCCATGTTCTCCAGAAAGGACTTCACTTGCTCCTCGTCCTGGAAGTCGACTACGCCGGCCATGGTTCTGGCTCGCCCAGCCCGGGTTAGCCTCCTCCGGCGCTCCGCCCCCACGGTCACGTGAGCCGGCGGCGGGGGCGGGGCGCGACGTCGACGCCTGCGCTCTTCCCCGGATTCCCGAAGGCGGAGCGCGGCCAGTGTGGGATTCCAGTCAGTCCTGGGGCTGTTAAATTCTTTGCAAGCCACATTTCCTCTGCTAACCCAACGGTCAAACGGGCGGTCTTCCTGCAGCACCTTATCTATGCCTGCTTTGTAGCCTTAATGCTTTTGTGCTTGCAGTCATTTATCCATTCCTAATCTCTAAGAGCCTACACTGCACCTCACCAGGTGCTCGGCTCTAGGGATATAACAGCTAGGAAGTATGCTCCTTGCATTTAAAGAGCTTGCAATTTAGGAAGACATTCATTTATTTATTCAGCAAACATTCTGAGCACCTTCTATGTGCCAGGTATAGCTGGACAAACCAATAATCATTAAATTTGTACAAATGCAATGGGAAGTCTTGTTCATCTCTACGTTCTTCACAGACCCATCCCAGCCACCAACATGAATGACTTTAGGAATGAATGTCTGTGGAAGATGACTGGAAAACAGTAGCAGCAGAGGTTGTAGTAACATCACTGTTGTAACAGCTAATCCTTAAACAGTGCTGAACTTTGTTCCAGGCTCTATTTCTAAGAGCTGAACTTTATGTGAATTATCTCATTTAATTCTCACTTATGGGATAGGTATTATTATTATTCCCATTCTGCAGATGAGGAAACTGAGGTACAGAGGGGTTAATTAACTTGTCCAAGGTCACACAGTAAGTGAGAGAGTTGGTATGCAGTAAATATTTTTCTGAATAAAAAAATGAATGCGGGCTGGCTGGTTAGCTCACTTATTTAGAGTACGGTTCTGGTAACACCAAGGTCAAAGGTTGGGATGCCCATATGGGCCAGCCGCCAAAAAAAGAGAATGAGGTAAAAGAGAACATGTCAAGGAGACGAGGGAAGAGGAAAGGAACTTCACCTATTTTTTGCTTTGTTCTCCTGCTCCTACTAAGAATCATCAGTTCTTGTTCATCTCCGAATCCCATCCAGCCCTAGTCTAGAATCTTCAGTGGAGCTCAATCCATGGCTTCCCATCACCTATAGCAGTGTTTTCCAAATGGCTCCACTACTAACCTATCTCTAATGGCAGCAGAGAGTGGACTACTTCCAACCATTTCTTCACTGGAGAGCAGCTTACTGCAGCTGGGACATTTCTTTGAAATCCTAGGATTTTTTTTCCAGTTTTATTTTTAAAATCCATATGATTTCACATTCAATTTCATAATACATATTTCACAAGATAACACAAGATTGCCCTTTCCCCCAAGCTTTTTGGTAAAATTGACATTCTGGGTGATATGCCACATTTATCTGTGGTTTCTTATATCCCTGATCACCTTACAGGACTCTTCAATACACGTGCCCCAGGTTGAGAAGCCCTGACCTTTGGTTTTGAGCCCATTTTCCTTAGCCTGGCCTTCAAGGCCCTGTGAATGTGATTCTAGCCTCGTCTCCTGTCTCTCTTCCTGGACAACATTTTATTCTCTGAATAGGTCCTAAGTTTGTGTCCTTATTTACTCTGATCTTGGTGCCTGGCCCACCCTTCTCAGCCTAAATCAGAAATCCTCCCCTCTGTAAGTCTTCCCAGATGGAACAACCAAAATAGATTTAGGTACTCCGACTTCAGTGCTTCCCACCACTTGTTTTACTCTGGTAGTAGGGGAGGACTGGCTTTGGGAGGGGAACATATCTTAGTTCAGAATCTATGTCCCAGGTTTACTAAACTATGACCTTGAACCAGTCACGTTTGTGAGCTTGATTCCTCTTCTGTAAATGCAGGTCTATTGTATGGCTGGTGGTAGAACTAAAAGTTCATGTATGCAATGTGCTTAGCATAGTGTCTAGCTCAGTCATTCTTGTTCCAGAAATGTTTCTTGTCATGTCTGTAGAGGCATAAAAATCTGTGTCCCAGGCTGGCCCGGTGGCGCACTGCTACAGTGCGCTGCTTGGGAGTGTGGCGGCGCTCCCGCCGAGGGTTCGGATCCCACATACAGACCGGCCGCTCACTGGCTGAGAGAGGTGTGGGCGCGACACTGAGGGTTGCGATCCGTTGCCGGTCACGAAAAAAGACAAAAAGGAAAAAAAAAAATCTGTGTCCCACACCAGACTGTGATCTCTATGTGCCTTCTGTGGTCATAGGGCCAAGAATAGAGCAGGGCTTGGTGAGAATGACATAGATAACTAAAGTCAGAGACTGGCTACAAGCATACTTTTCTCCCTAATATTCGCTGAGTTGAATTGCGTTGAAATGAGATCACCTGAGCAGTAGAGGGCACTAGAGAGTTGGTGAAAAAATGGAAGAGACGCTGAGCCAGTTATGAAGTCACATATTTTATTTTATTTTTATTTATTTATTTTGGACGCTGGCCAGTGGGGAGATCTAAACCCTTGACTTTGGTGTTATAACGCTGTGCTCTAACCAAGTGAGCTAACTGGCCAGTCCTAAGTCACATATTTTAAAAGGAAATTTAAGGTTAACAAAAGGCAGACAGCTTTTTCTTAGTCCTGTTCTTATCTCTGTAGGTTTATTTCTCCTCTATTCTTATAGCTGTTTGCATTTACTTTTTAAACATAATTGGTTTAATTACTCAATTAATACATGAATATATGCTTATTGTAAATTAATCTCATGTTTGTCACCTAATAACCTTTTTCTATAAGCATGATTCAGCTTGCAGACACTGTTCAAACTTGCAGAGAAACTGAAGGTCTGAGAAGTCAAGTGATTTACCGTAAAACACATTGTGAGAGGACCAGGAGAAGCCAGGCCTTTTGCAGTCCTAGAGTTCACAACAACCATTCTACATCCTGAAGGGAAGAATCCAAGAACATTGTAGAGCTTACCTCCCTACTCCAGGCTTAGATTCTACTAATAATTATTGATCACTAACTATGGGTTTAGTACTATAGATACATTATTTCATTTATTCTTCACAGCATTACTCTTCATTCATTCAATAAACATTCGCTGGGTGCTTAATTATGACTAGGGCTTAATAGAGGCAAAATTGAAAAACACAAGGTTTCAAGAATATGCAACTCAGAAGAGGAAAATCACTAGTTAATAAAAATATGAAATGCTCCTCCTAATGATCAAAGGAAGGCAAATTAAAAACAATGTGCTATTTTTCATATATTAGGTTAACAAAGACTGGCATCCTATGTTTATGAGGATGCTGAGAAACCAGCATTCCTATACACTGTTGGTGGGAATATGGATTGATGCCTTTTAGGAGAGCAATTTGGTAATATTTACTAACATTTAAAGTGTGCTTATCAACTTCCAAGAATGTATCCTACAGTAATTCTTAAATAAATAAATATTTGTTGCAGTTTTTGTTGTTGCTGCTGTTCTTATATTAGTCCAATGATAAAGGATTTGAATGTAATGTAGATATTAAAAAGAATGAAATAGGTCTATTCATGCCGACATTGAAAGATGTTCAAATGTATTAAGTGAAAAAAAAAAAGTTGTTTAAAAAAATTTAATTTTTGTTTAAAATTAAGCTTTTGTATATTATTAGAAAAAAATGGAGGGAAAATACACTGAACTAACTTAGTAGTTGCTAACCATGGACTGGGGAAAAGCGAGGAAATAGTGTACAGGGGACTTCCACTGTTGTCTTCCATACTTATTTTTATAATAATCACATATTACTTTTGTAAGCAGATAAAATAATAAAAGTACTTTTTAAAGGAAAATGTCTTCCTTAGACGTGTTCACTGTTTTATGGGCTATTTCAGGATAGTTATTAATATCCTGAATCTCCATTTCATAAAGGAAGTTCAGAGAAATAAATTGATTTCCTTAAGTTCACACAGCCAGCTAAGCCTCCCCCCAAGGGTTACCAGTCTGTGAGCCAACAGGACCCGCCCCGTGCAGAGAGAGGGGGCCAATCGTGTTTGCCGTGAGGTCACTTTGAAGGCCTGGGATTGGTGCTCTTGTCTAAGCTGAACCGGTCTTCCTCAGCTGCTAGGTGCAGCTAGGGGTGGCGGGTAGGAGGATCGGGGCGGCTTGCTCGGGGCTATCCTTTGCATATCCCTTGGGGACCCTCAGTATTGGGTGGGTTAGCTTCGGAGGCACCCTGCCCTTCCTGCTGTGGCCATTCAATCCCTCAAATCCGTGCCTGCAGAGCCTGCAGCCCTCCCTCACTGCACCACAGGCTGTGACAGCTGCCAGCCCTGCGCAGACTCGAGTTTTCAACAGCGGTGATTACATATCACGTAGTCCCCAAATGACCTGCCTGGCCTCGAGCCAGCGCAAAGCATTCAGAAATAGGACTGAGCTCAACTTCTGCTTCCATGCCTGTGTCTGAGGCTCGTGGGCCGTGCTTTAAGCTGGAAAGGCCCTTCTTTACAGAGAAGAGGACTGAAGTCCAGAGAGGAAGGGGCTTATTTCAGGGCACACTGCAAGTTAGTGAGGAAGTTGTGGGCCGTTCCCTCTGGGCAGTAAGTTGGATGGTAACCTTTCCACTTTACCTTGGCCTCCTGACAGATAACCTCCTCCCTGCCTGTTTCCTCTATATCCCCTGCCCATATGTCATGATATGAGGCAGCAATGTTTATAAAGAATAAGGACTTTGGAATCACACTAATGTTGAGATGCCACACTTGCTGTAGGACTTTGAACAAGCTGTGTTACTTTTCTGGGGCCGGCCTGTGGCTCACTCGGGAGAGTACGGTGCTGATAACACCGAGGCCATGGGTTTGGATCCCATATAGGGATGGCCGGTTTGCTCACTGGCTGAGAGTCATGCTGACAACACCAAGTCAAGGGTTAAGATCCCCTTACCAGTCATAAAAAAAGAAAAAAAAAAAAAAAGCTGACAAGCTGTGTTACTTTTCTGGCCCCATTTTCCTCATCTGATATGGGATATTAATCTCTATCTACGTTATAGGAATGAATGAGAGATTGG